ACTAGTACCAGTACTACTCCAACAACCAGTAATATTCAAACTTCCAGTCCAGATGCTAGTGCCAGTACTACTCCACCCACTAGTACCAGTACCACTCCAACCACCAGTAATATTCAAACTTCCAGTCCAGATGCTAGTGCCAGTACCACTCCACCCACTAGTACCAGGACTACTCCAACAACCAGTAATATTCAAACGTCCAGTCCAGATGCTAGTGCCAGTACCACTCCACTCACCAGTACCAGTACCACTAAAGCTTCAAAAATGGAGACTAGTGCCATTACTACTCAAACTACAAAAACGGAGACTATTTCCAGTAGTCCTCAAACATCCAGTCCAGATGCTAGTACCAGTACCTCTCCACCCACCAGTGCCGTTACTACTCAAAGTGCCGTAACGGTCACTAGTGTCAGTACTACTCCATCTACAACCAAACCAGGTAATATATAAATCAAACATGCGTGAGTCACATACAAAATATACACGCGTGCTTATGATTGTACGTGTGACATCAAAACGCGTCCAGCGGAATCTAATTTTGAAACAAATCGACAACCATACATTTTGCTAATTCTGTGCTGGAATTCAAAACGTCGACAATTATCTACCAGAATCACTAAAGCAAATACGTTCCTTTGATCTGCCTTTCTCCCCGGGCTCCTCTTTTTTCCTTCATTTCTTGCATCAAATTGTAATAAATCACGCGGAGTCCCAAGTTCGGTACAGACAGACTACAAGCATTTTATTAAAGTACGCTACGGCTATTTATACTAAAAGATTACACTTGAGAATTGCCTAGTGATATTACTTAAGCTAAGTGAATTTACGATCATAATAGATATACATGAATATACATAACAAAATGATAATAAAATGCATAAGAATCGGAGGCTAAGGTCACATATATTCTATAGTAAATTGACACAATTATTGAGCTTGGGCTACCTGTGGTGTTATGGTCATGTTTGGACGTCTATCATCAATAGGTCAGTGTACACATGAAGTCGCCATTGGAATACAGAGTAAGGCTATTATTTCTGGTTCCTCCATCACAGCCAGTAGAAACAACAACAGTGCAAGTAAAGCAAGACTCAATGGTCGTGGAGGATGGTTGATAAGATGTTACCGGAATTTTCCATGTAATAATCAATGGATACAAGTGAATGTGGGAAAGATCGCGAAGGTAAAATGGCACAAATGATAATAGTGTAGGTTATACAAATCGAAAAAAAAAACATTTTTATGTCAAACTCATAATTTCCGATTTTTAACTGGCTGAATTTCACTGAGCTATGAACATATTAACTGTGATTGTTCTACCCAAAAGATTACCGGTATTGACACACAAAGCAAGTACCAGTCGTGCTACACAAAGAAATACAGGCTTTCTTACAGCATTGAGGGAATTACATTCATTGATTACAACAATAGCCAAGTCCTCAACGGGAACAAAGACAGGTATTTCATTGTTCATAACGACCTAACGCCAGCCATTACAGCAAGATATTTACGAATTCATCCTCTGAAGAAAAATGACATGTCTGGGTGTGTCGGATTGAGAATGGAACTTTACGAATGTAAAGACGATGAAGGTTAGTGCACACAATACATTTCTCAGCATTGCTCCCATAGCTATTGACTTTAGGTAACGAGGCTGAGATGATGTCAGTTCTCTGGGACACGCGGAGCTTCGGCCTATTTTATTCGGTTCACTGTAAATATGTCGACTCGGAATACGGAATATCATAATCATATTCTTTTCTATTTCTATATTTTGAACAACATTTAGAGTTGAATTGACGAGTTCTTGGATATGTACCACGACAGTGAGCTGGTATATAGTCATTCTGAAACCACGAAAAACTCCTTTTGAACGACCAACAATGCAGTTCGGTCTCGGAATACGCAATCTTCAGTATCCAACGTTTTCTGAATTTAATCTGTATATATATTCGAAAAGGAATTGTCAGATCAGGAAAAGGGAATTGTGGGTCTTGCGCATTTTTCCTTCCGGTTTTCTTGTCCTATAGTAGAGCTGCAGACTGTTAATTACTGACCATTAAGTCAATAAACTTTACTAGTCTCGCACATGTCAACATATCCCATAGTATGTTCAAGTTACAATACACAGGAAGCCCATACCTAACAGCAATGAATATTCTTATCAATAGGTCAGTGTAAACATAATGATGAACCCATTGGAATACAGAACAAATCTGTTATTCCTGATAAGTACATCACAGCCAGTACAAGCGAAGAAGATGCAAGAAAGGCAAGGCTGAATGATCCTAAAGGTTGTCAATTGGATTGTTCATCACGGCGGAGGACAACATGTGGTGATCAATGGTTGCAAGTCAATGTGGGAAAGATTGCAAAGGTAAAATGGCACGAATGTAAATAAATTCAATATCATATTATTAAATCATATAACAGAATAAATTATTGTGTGGTTGGACTGTTAAGTTTATTAGCTTTTGACTTTCGGCCGGGCACTAGCAATACCATTATGCAATTACTAAGGACCCGAAGGCAGAGATGAGAAAGCGAGTCCTAACCGCACTACCAAGAACTCCTTGCCCTACTCTCAGTTGAATAGTGGTGTGGGTTCTTTGATCCCTCGAAGCCAGCCAATTAATGCATTTGATAAGTGCCATTCTATTCAAAGTTGCACGTCACACATTCCGCGATATGATTCTAGCTCATTTACCACATTCCTCACAAAACACGTGACTCTGAATCAACAGATTACTGGTATTGCTACACAAGGCGTCAAACATGATGCACATTGCTGTTGGATGGAAAAGTACAGACTTTCCTACAGCAATGGAAGTCAATTCACTGMTTACAAACAAGTCTTCAACGGGAACACAGACAGTGATACAACTGTTTACAACGTGATTGCACCAGCCATTATAGCGATTTATGTACGAATTCATCCTCTAACAGACTATTACAAGTCTGTTTACGTTGGGCTGAGAATGGAGCTCTATGAATGTAAAGAAGATGAAGGTCAGTACACACAATACATCCGTCCCAGGGTGCTCCTTGGCATAGGCCAATTAACGCAAAAAAGTTTTCTCTGATCACTGATTCTACAAGACTTGACTTTGGAGGTAAAGCTGTAAATTAAATTCATATTTCGTCACCGATTCTCCCTAGCCAGTATCAGACTCGCTCACACTAGTGACCACTAATTGAATGTTTTAATCATTTGGCTGTCCTTGTTCCAAGTAATAAAGGACAACAGAAATGTTTCAGGGCCTAATGAAATAAGGGCATCTACGTTGAATTCCAAGTTAAGAAGACAACAGCTATATTCTGCTTTAGCCTCCTCGGCAGGCATCACAAAGATTCACGGGCTGCCTGTCTTTTTGGGAGTCAAAAGAGGGAGAGTCCCTAGCGGACAAGATGACAAAGGAAGCCCAAAGGAGGAAAAAAGAGTTGCCTGGGGAGGAGGCTTAGTCCGCTGTTCTTTCTTTTTTATTTGTCATTTTTGCTTTCCCTTGATGCACAACATAATTGATTTTAAGTTAAGGAATAAAAGACGAAATTCCGTGTTTGATACTCTGATCAAAACACGCGGGATGTAGGGAGAGCACGAGAGAAGCGTAGGAAACCACGACGCAAAAAAGAAAAACAGAAATTTTTGACGTGCGCGAGCGTGTTTTGATACTGTAATCAAACATGGTTTTCGACCAATCACAGCGCGCGTAGTATCCTAAATATTTTAGAAAAACATTTCCAAATATGAAATAGATACGTAATATCACCTTGCGAAAGGAATATCGTGAGTTTGATCTGCGGGGAAAATGATGATATCCACTATGAGATCAATTACTAACAAAACCAGAATGCTCTACTCACTTTTTTAGCATTAAGTATCATTCTGAATGCGATGTGTATTGTAAACTTTAAACGTACCATTGACATTTTTCTCTTCTTACACAGCAATATGTTCGTATGCGCTTGGGATGGAAAGTGGAATGATTTCAGACACCCAAATTACAAATTCGTCATACCATTCTTATCCAGCATCCAATGCAAGGCTGAATTATCATGATTCATGGATCCCCAGTGATAACAACAATGAATGGCTTCAGATCAGTTTCAATCAAATAAAAAAGGTCAACGGCATTGCAACACAGGGGGATTCCTACCATGACAATGATAACCACTGGGTGAAAAAATATCGTCTTCAGTACAGTAATGACACTAATGACAACCTCAATGATTACAGCCTTGATGATGGTAAACCAGTAAAATTCGATGGAAATTTTGACCGCAACAGTATCGTCTACAATGTCATCCTCCCCCCAATAATCGCACAAATAGTTCGTATTGTACCAACTGAATGGGAAGATGATGTCGGTCTGAGGGTTGAACTGTATGGATGCCCATATAAGGGGGCCTACGATGGATCGAAATAACATGTGATCAGAACTTGTATGGCATAAAATTCACTCAAGGAGCTTCTGCAATTGTGCATTTAGTATTCATAAACTACTGCGGATAAAGTGTTTAATAGAGTGACACGGCAGACGAAACAAAGGGCCACCGTAACTTAATCTTATGATGACTCAACTGAAACTTGAAACACAAAGTCCCGCCTTGAAATTGAAGTTTGTAGTCTTCCTCAACTTAAGAGATGACCTGTCAGCATATTTACTATAGAATATATGTACTTTATTAAACCATCGATGTTAAGTGATGCTTCATGACGACTTTGCGAGTTGTTTGCAGTAGAACAAAACTCAAACCAGCTCGATTATCATAACCATTTTCTTTTCTATTTCTATATTTTAGTGTTAGATTGTTTTTGGTCAGGTCTCTGCACATGAGAGCCTGTTGTCAACTAAATCAGCGGTTGTTCGCTTTGAACGGGTAAAAAAGTATTATCTGTTTTAATAACTCCAAGAGGAAATTTGAATTAAGGCACACAAATATCTTGGCTAAGATTGAAAATGGCATTTGAGTCAATTTCATCTGTCTGTGAAATAGGAATTGTACTATTAAATACTATTACCCCCTATAGACTTCTGAAACTTTTACGTCACTACTTGATTTTCAATGCATTGTGGGACCAGTTTCAAGAGAAAACAAAAGAAATCCGCCATGTTTTGTCCCAATGAATAGGATTGTCAATCGAACTTTGAAACAGTTTTGTCAGTTTGCTAAGTTATTTGTTCACTGAAGACGTCCATTGGCAAGCTATGAATATTGTTTATAACGAACTTACACCGGCCATTACAGCAAGATACTTGCTGAAAGACTTTGTTTTGACACTTTGGAGTAAATGATGTTTGATTAGCCGCTTCGACGTGCCGGCACTTCAGCATCACCGACGAAAAAATTCGCAAAGCCACAAATAACACATGAATGCATTGGTCGTATGAACTCCGTTTCATGGATAAGAAGGTGGAATTCATTTTCATAGAGATTTTTTATTGAACTGTTATCTAGTAACAATATCAAACTGAAGATAATTTTATGTGAGCGATGCAAGAACTGCAATGATAACAAGCCGTACGAAAAAATTCCCAAAGCTACAAATAGAGACCTTGCTCTGATAAATTACGTTTAATTAATAAGCTGGTATTCATGTTTTAGGTTAAACTAGTAGCTTGTTTATCGTGTACTAGTAGGTAACGAATTTATAAAGAGACTCATTATGAGCAATCGTTGAACTGAAAGAAATCTCGATTTTCAAGCGCAAATCGACAAATTCTTGTACTACTTTTCTTATGTAGTAACTTATCTCAATAAAATGCAAAATACTCACTAAATTCCTCAATTTTAGCTTCATAGAAAAATTTTTTACTACCAGTTTCAAGTTGCTTTGTTTATCTATAGTTTATACCGAAGATTCTATATATGCACTCAAAACCTACAGGAAATAGTAAAAATCTTTATGCAGAATACTCATAACTAGTTGTTGCCAAGTTTTCGGATACATTATTGTATAAATAGCTGATTTTTTTCCTATTCTACTTCTAGTTTTGAATCGCACTTGACAAAAAATGGTGACGTCAAAACCATGTCTACATACTCTGATACAAACACGGCAGTCGGCCAATCAGAACGCGCGTAGTATCCAAGTTATTTTATAAAAGTTGATAGTCCACAAGACCGTACTTGGCCAAATTGACTATTGATCAACTCGTATTTCACAATACCGAGTGGTTTACCTGTTTTASTATCCTGCAAGCTATCGTGTAAATTTGAAAAAAAGACCACAACGAATAATTTTTCTCGGCATTTTTTTTTTTCTTGACTCTTCTACTGTATTCGATGCGACCATGGGTAATCATAGCTAGGTATAGAGTGTGTATAATTTACTGTAAGCTATTCAGTTTACTGCAGACAAAATGTTCTTTTATAAACATTGATAATTTGTTTTTACAAGATGTTTATAATGTTTGATCGAATATAAACAGAACAATTTACAAGATATTTACACAATGCACATAAAATTTACAAACTTTGTAAAAGGACATTTTTGTTTATAAATAGAATTTACTGTATATATTTACATATTATTTACAACGGCATTTCTGTAAACACTTTKTCCCATTGACAAGTTCAATATTGAGAATAAATTGATCGATAGCATGGTTGCCTGAGGCTCATGGTGTGGTAAATATGTTTTGAACGCTATAGTTTGGTTTCATGGCAAAGTTTCAAAAGCTTAAGCATCTTTCCTAACAAATTCATGCTCATACCACATTTATTAACAGATCGTCACTGACTGAGGGAGAGAACTGATCTATTTTCCGAGTAAACAATCTGATGGCAATTCTGTATTTCAAAATTACCGTTGCAGCTTGTGAAAATGAAAGAGAACTACGACTTCGCCTCAAGGGGATAGACCGGCTGTCTTTGTTCATTCAGGCTTGGTTTCAATTCTTTTACTTACAACGCTTTGCCTATTCTCTTTTGTTTGAAATTTTTTTCTTTGAAGCTAAAATGACAGCATTTTCTAATTTTATAGTTTCACGGCCTGATTCAAAGCAGTATCTAAGTATTGCAATGCTGGACTAGTTAATCATATTCATGTATGAGTTCAGTTTGCAGTTGATGACCTTTAAATAAAGACTAAAATATTCGAACTAGTTGATAATGATAAACCTTTCGTAGTTTTCTTTATATTAAAACTATATATGCCCAAAAGAATATATYATGAAAATGAATATAGAATCTTTTTGTTTTATGTCATATTTGGGAGGTCTATCAAGCCTCAATTAGCAAGCTATGAATAAAATTGTATACGAGAAGGACTAAGTCGAGCACGTCCAAAAATAATCAGCCAATCGTGACTCAACCTGTCCATCGATTACGTCAATGATCACCTCAATAAAACTTTGAAAACCGTTGAAAGTAAGTTAGTTGATAACAGGAAGAGAGTCCTTTGACGTGTTCACTTAGGACCTTCTACGTCTGTTAAAATGAGATTTCAAATCCTGWTTGGTTGGTTTGTGCTAGTTTGTGTTTGGTTTTACTCAAAGAATGGAATTCAAGGTGAGTAATAAGCTTTATATAGTCTAGTTATTCAACAAACATTGGTCATTTTAGAAAATAAAGTTTATGGCCATACTATTAATTGTCTTAACTGGGAGCATGCAGCTTGCAACAAGAGGAAAAGAGGAATTTCACAAAATGGACGGTTTATATCGCGTTGTTACTAAAGATAATTACTCTTTCTTTGGTCTGTTTTTGTTTGATCAACTTGTATAACATTTTACTTCAATGGCATGTTTTATAACAAAACTGATACTCATTTGCCACTACACCTTTCTTGGAACATCTACACGTTGATCAACTTCAAAAATGCGTTTTTCAAGAAATAGTAGAATCATCTTTCGGTGTCTAAGTTATACTTTATGAATTTCACTGGCAATACAACTGGAATTAAAAGTRATAGCAAAAGGGAAAATGTCTTTCTGCATCAAATTATAAAACATCTGTTCATCTAATGTAAGTCCTAATTCGTCAGTGTTTACTTGACGTTGTCATCCCATTAAGGTCAATTAGTACAGGTAATAACATCCCTTTTTCTCGGCAATATTTAAWTATTTTCATCTTGGCTGCCACCAGCCAATCAGGAACGCACARAATTCTTTTTTTCCGCAGATGTGTAATTTTTGAGCTGACAATAATCGAGTTTTTAAACTTGCTCAATATGTAAGTCGGTGAAAGTAATTGGGCCATCATTGCTAAAGTCTGATATTTTTTATCCTACAGGGCAATGTCCATCATATTCACCCAACTTTGTTGTACAACATGGCTATCGTCTGTACGGACATGTTATCACCTGGCTGTATGCTGAAAATGAAGTTCTTTGTAGACTCAAATGCAATATTGTCCAGGGGTAATGGTTAATATACAGTATTCATAGAGAAGGAATGAAAAAAAAAACCAGAATGCAACAGAAGATGTATTTGACATAAGTATGAATATTAATTTTTGATTATTATTATTCCTAAATTCAAGATGTTTGTCATTCAACTATAAGGAAGCAACTAGGGTCTGTGAATTGAACGACGCTGACGATGAAAAAGACCTACAAGAGGCTGAAGATTTTGTCTACGTTGGCATTAAGGTCAGCGGAAATCATGATAAAAATAGAGAAATCAGGAACTTCCATTAGCATTATACGTATTGTTTCTATTCATTCAAAAAGAAGTCAACTAGTACCAGTTCTACTCCATCTACTAGTGCCAGTACCACTCAAACTTCAAAAACGAAACCTAGTGCCATTACCACCCAAACTACAAAAACAGAGACTAGTGCCAGTACTATTCAAACTTCCAGTACCGACGCTAGTACCAGTACCACTCCATCCACAAGAACCACTACTCAAAGTGCCGTAACGGACACTGGTGTCAGTACAACCCCACCTACAAGCAAACCAGGTAATTCAAAAAAAAAATCTCGTTTCAAAATGCTTCATATAAACCATATTCTTATATTCTTTTGTCACCCTTCGATGACAACACTTTTCAACTATAACATAGGTTTTTATCAACAACAGGTTGCTAACAATTAGTTAGAATGTAATTGAGAAAGTTCAAGATAACATTTCTGAACAAATATACAAGTACGTTTACAAGTTCGATTTTCAACCTCAAAGTTCAATCGACCCTTGAAACTCAGTCTTCATACTATGATTAGCAATAGCAAAAAGTAGCTTGTGCCGCGTGTCTTTCGTATTTGTCTGTCTTTGATAACGTTAAGTACGTCGTTAAGTACACTGACCAAGAAAATTATACCGATCATGGTGTTAATGGTCATGTATGAACGTCTATCACCGACCAGGTCAGTGTAAACCTGAAGTCGCCATTGGAATAAAGAGCAAGAATACTATACCTGCTTCCTACATCACAGCCAGTAAAAACAATCACTATGCAAATATGGTAAGACTCGATGGTAATGGTGGTTGGCTCATGAGATGTAGGCAGAATAAACCATGTAGTAATCAATGGATACAAGTGAATGTGGGAAAGATCGCGAAGGTAAAATTGCACAAAGGATATGCAGGTTATACAAATAAAAAAAAATATGTCAAGCTCACAGTTGCATTTTTAACTGTCACGTTTTTGAATTTCACTGAGCTATATCGAACACTTAAACTTTGATTGTTCTACCCAAAAGATTACCGGTATTAACACACAAGGCACCACTTACCAGTCGTGTCTGTGCTACACAGAGAAATACAGGCTTTCTTACAGCAATGGAAGCACATTCACAAATTACAGAAATGGCCAAGTCCTCCACGGGAACAATGACAGTAAAACCATTGTTCATAACGATCTTACGCCCGCCATTACAGCAAGATATGTACGAGTTCATCCCATGAAGTACAATGACAAGTCTGGGTGTGTCGGATTGAGAATGGAGCTTTACGAATGTAAAGACGATGAAGGTTAGTGCACACAATACATTTCTCAACATTGCTCCCTTAGCCATTCACTTTAGGTAACGAGGTTGAGATGTTACTTCAATGGGGTTCCCGGAGCCTCGGACTATTATTTTCGGATCGTTGTTAAGGTGTTTCGATCGTAATAAATAGCGTTTCGCGCGTATTTTTAAACTCCAACTATGTCGCACATTTCGATTCGATTGCACTCAAATTTTCAAAGAAGTATAAGTAATTATCGATAATTCTTATTTATAGATTAATTTGCCAAAAAATCGAAGCTATTTGGATAACCAATGCAAAATAATAACACCTTCATTTTTCTTCAAAGTTAATTTTCTCGAAACTCATCGCAGAGATTGTAATAGAATTTTCAGAGTCATTTCTTCATAACATAATTGACATACTGACGAAGTTTGAATGAAATCTTAACCTAAATTTTCGAGATATTTGAGCATTTCAAAATGTTTCTCAAAACGATGTGACACATTTTCCTTGTTGTCCATTTACACGAGAAAATTTCGTCCTTGACAATTTTTCCTTGTCAAGGAAAAGTAAACATGTTGGCTTTTCCTTCAGAAGGAAAAATTGTCAATTTTACCCCATTTACACGAGCAATTTTTCCTGTCAAGGAAAACTTTTCAAGGGAAAATTATGCTCGTGTAAACGGCGCTTTAAGTGATGCTTCATGACGATTTTGTGAGTGGTCTACAGTAGAACAAAACTCATCAAACCAGCTCGATTATCATAACCATTTTCTTTTCTATTTCTATATTTTAGACAAGTGTTATGACAACATTTTTTCGTGCTTTCGTTTGTTTTTGGTCTCTGCGTATGAGAGACTGTTGTCAACTAAAGCAGCGGTCGCTCGCATTAAACGGGTAAAAAAGTATTATCTGTTTTAATAACTCCAGTTATATCTTGGCTAAGATTGAAAATGCCCATAATTGATTAAACTCAACAAGTAACGATCACTTTGTCATTCTGAATGTGATGTGTAAACTTCAAGAGTACTATGATAATTTTTCTTTTCTTCCACAGCAATATGCTCGTATGCGCTTGGGATGGAAAGCAAAAATATTTCAGACACCCAAATTACAGCTTCATCTACATTTAGTTCTTTTTACCCATCAAATGCCAGGCTGAATTATAATGGTGCATGGATGTCCAAGGATGAGAAAAAAAATGAATGGCTTCAGATCAATTTCAATCAAATAAAAAAGATCAACGGCATTGCAACACAGGGACGAAATAACGTAAAATCTTGGGTAAAAGAATACCGTCTTAACTACACAAATGCCACTTATGAGCCCCCTCTTGTTTATACTAAGGATGGTCAGCCATTTGAATTCAAAGGAAATTCTGACCGCAACAGTATCGTCTACAATGCCATCCTCCCCCCAATAATTGCACAAATAGTTCGTATTGTACCAACAGAATGGCAAGTTTATATCTCTATGAGAGTTGAACTGTATGGATGCCCATATAAGGGGGCCTACGATGGATCGAAATAGCATGTGATTAAAACTTATATGGCATCCCGATCCACTCAAAAAGGCTCTGCGATTGTGCATGCTAGAAATCTAATATACACTAAATCCTATATAAACTACTACGGATAAAATGTTTAATATAGTGACAGTTTCCATACCGTTAGGTGATGCTTGTGTCATTAGTCCTTTCCTTTTTAGTCATTCATTGCTTTTTTTTTCAGTCTTTTTTTTAACTTAATATCTTTGAATTTTAAAAGCTCTTTATTAGCATTTTGTCCATGGAAAACTTTCAAAACTTGTTTTCGATTAAATATTTTCTTTAACTTTATCTATTTTGATTTTAAGAGCTCTTTATAACAGACGTGAATGTAAAATGCATGTTCTAAAAGCTACTGCAGCATGAATTATGTAAGTTATGTGTTTACCGCAAAGGACTATATAAATACACTACATTTTATAATGTTGTAGCATACTATTGTAACTACAGTTTTCTCAAAACTCATGATATCGATAAGTAAATAATAATAAAACAACAATGATTTCAAATGATGAAACTTGGTGACAGTGCGAGGCAGAGAGATTTACCCATTACGTATGTCCAACAATTTCTCTCGGGTACGCCTCGTACGGCAGCGAGTCTGTGTGTCCCAAATGAGGTAAGATCTAGATTCTTCACAACACATTTGGACGATGCTTATACAAAACAATTCCATTGCTTTTAAAACAGTAAAATGAATTCCATTGTAACTGTCGCCATTATTCTCCAAATAATTAAAGCCCAGGCAAGTGACAACATGTGAAGGAACTGGAATCGTGAAAAGTTTTTCCTACGTATGGTGGAACTTTCTGCTGCAAATCTACGTAGCAAATCTATCTAAACTAGTACATTAGAACTCCAGACACAAGACTTAGTACTACTCTAGCAACCAACAAACGCTAAGATCATTGCTTCTTCGACTCCCAGAACCCACACTACCACCGGTAATGCTCCAATGAATAGTTCCAGTCAGTACTGATCCTTCTACAACAAGAAGCTGCCATTGGTAAAAAGACTATTCGAGTGGAGCCGACGGGTTCCTGGGAGAAATATATCTGTTCTTATGTCCCAGCCAGCTGTAAGTCACAACTGGTTGCCAGCGAGAAATTCAGGAGAACATAACTCTCCAGACAAGAAATACTTTCTAAGAATTTTTGCCAGGAAAAAAATATAAATTTCCTTACTAACACAAGCATAAGTCGTTTTTGACCATAAAAACGCTATAAAAGCCATTTTTGACCTTAAAAACGTTTGCCAGGAACAAAATTATATTAAAGAAGGAAGGGCGCCGCATTTGCTTGTGAGATTGTAAACAATGTAGCTCAAAATCTCTTTCCAAGGAAAAAATTAGTACAAGAACAGTTATTTAGAAGAACAGACTCCGTCGGCTCCT